GAGCGGGGCGGGCGCGGGGCCCGGGCCGCGGGCGGGGGGCGGCCGGGCGGCCGGGGGGCGCACGTGGGGGAGGCCCGTCGCCGGGCGCCTGGGGCGGGCCCCGAGCTGTGCGGGCCGCGGAGGTAAGGGCGGGGTCGCAGGCGGGGAGAACCCGGAAGGGAGCGGCTCTCCGAACCTCGCCGGACGCGGAGGGCAGCGCCCCGGACTGCAGGCCGGAGAGCCGGGTGCTCCGTGTGACCTTGGGCCTCGCTGTCCGCATCCTGGAGAGGACGGACTTGGGCTGGATGCACTCGAAAGTTCCTCTGGCTCCAATTTTGCGGAGTTTGAATGAAAAGAGAGAGGCTGAAGACGAGTAGTGTCGCTCTGGAAGGGCCACGAAGCGCTGTGAGTCCGGAGTGTTCCTAGGTCATGGGAGCCCGTTTCAGGGCACCTGGGTGCTCCTGATCCCGAGCCCCGCCGCCTCCCAGCCTCATGACTGCAGTCTCTTGCCAGGCACCTTCCATTCCTGGTTTCTGGTTTCCGCAGCGCCGCTCGCCCTCCGCAGGTCCTGTCTGCAGCCCCGTCCCTCCGTTGAGGCCGCTGTGCGCTCTTCCCACACAGGGTCGAGGATTTTTTTATGGGGGGCAGCGGGGACGTGGTTTCTAGAACTGGGGCAGAATGGAGTGAAGTGTGAGACCAAGTTGAGGTTGCTGCTTTCTAGTAGGGCGTAGGGTTTGGGTTTTTCGTTTAGCTCAGGCTCTGTTGAACAGGGCCCTTGGAGCGGTGGGCCCCATCTTGGCAGTGAAAGAGTCAAGAGCACGTTGTCTTTTCCTCCCTGGAATAGGCATCCTGCCTTTTCGGCCTTTGTAAGTCAGAGGCAGAGGGGAGTATAGGCTGCTCCAAAAATAGAAAAGTGATCCAATGCGGCAGCCCCTGGGCGCCCACTGTGGGCTGCCCCTAGCCGTCTCAGGCGGGTGAGGAGCTGGCTGTGGTTGGCACATGTGCGGTGTCACGCTGCTGAATGTCAGCGCTGCCCGTCAGAGCGTGGGCCCTGCCTGCAAGCTTCCGTACTTGTCTCCAGCTTTTGGTAACGGCCCTGGTCATCCTTCTGATCGTTTGCAGGCCTAGTTCTTCCTCAACCCACTACCCTCACGGAACTGACTGACTCAAGGTGATGTGTGTGCACACATGGCTTACATGTGTGCATGTGGGTACCTCTGCCTGTGATTGTGAGTTCTTGGCTTTGAGCAGGGTGGAAATGTGAGGCAGGAGGGCTCTGTTTTTATTCTTTTTTAAAAAGATTTTACTTATTTGACAGAGACAGCAAGAGAGGGAACACAAGCAGGGGGAGTGGGAGAGGGAGAAGCAGGCCTCCTGCGGAGCAGGGAGCCTGGCGCGGGGCTCGATCCCAGGACCCTGGGATCATGGCCTGAGCTGAAGGCAGATGCCTAACGGCTGAGCCACCCAGGCGCCTCTGTTTTTATTCTTTATGAGCGTGGTGGTGACTATTGGAAGCAGCTGGGGAAGGAAGGTCTGATTTCTCTGCCCAACATAAATGTGCTGTTAGACTACGGAACTGTCACTCTAAGCTTCAGTAAATTTGGGAAATTCCCACAGTCTGTTTATAGAAATGAGATTCTGAAATGTTTTAAGCCCCTCAGAAGAAAAGGCAGCAGTAGAAGGGATGCTGGGCGGGCCACAAACACCAATTAATTAATTAGGCCGATTAACTATTTTTATTTTTTTATTCTTATTTTTTTAATTCTTTTTTTTTTTTAAGATTTTATTTATTTGACAGAGAGACACAGCGAGAGAGGGAACACAAGCAGGGGGAGTGGAAGAGGGAGAAGCAGGCTTCCTGCGGACCAGGGAGCCCAATGTGGGGCTCGATCCCAGGAACATCATGACCTGAGCCGAAGGCAGACGCTTAACGACTGAGGCACCCAGGTGCCCCCGATTAATTATTTTTAAAAAACATTTTTGGGGGCGCGTGGCTGGCTCAGTCAGGAGAGCATGCAACTCTTGATCTCAGGGTCATGCGTTTGAGCCCCAAGTTGGGTATAGAGATTACTTAAAAAAAAGAATTTGCAATCAGAACTTCCTAGAACAATGGTTATTAAGCTTTCTTGGATTGAGAACTAAGGAGAGCTGTGGAGTGGTCCATAAAGACGTGTACACACTCCTGAGATCTGTCCATGGCACGGAAGTTCAGAACCCCTGCCCTGGGGCACTAAGCAGGCCTAGAGTAAAGTCCCTGATGGCTGTCTGATGGCCCTGGCATCAAGGGCCAGGCTGGCTGAAAGGGCTTGGCTCCCTTCTCTGGGCAGCCCGGAAGGCATTTGGAGAAATGCTGAGCTCTCAAGATTGCCTGTGGGAAGGCCTGATTACCCTCCCACCCGTGCACCTGGGTGCTGGTGGTCACTTTTCCCTGGGCAGGGTAGCTTTTGCTGGCGTCCCACCTGAGCCACCACGGGGAGTTCGCCTGCGGGGGCGCCCTGGCCCAGTAGCCCATGTCTCGGTATTCTGAAGCAATCTTGAATTGTTTTGGGAATCACCAATCCCCCCTTTCTTTGTTGCTTTTGTGCCTAGAGCTGTGTGTGAGTTTACCTGTTTTCACAGCTGCTATCTATCTTCCAGTGGGTTTTACCTTTCTGGAGGTGACACATATCTCTGGCACTTCTTAGCCATCCATTGTAGAGTTTCCTTGGTTTTTTCTCATGGTGTCTGGAGTCTCCTCCTTAGCCTTATGACAAGAAAGATGGAGGCTAATGCTTACTGAACGCTCCGCATGTACGAGGCACCATTATGAGTGCTTTGTGTATTAGCTAATTTAATCCTCACACGGTGGGTGATAATATTACTCTCATTTTGTAGATCGGAGAACTGGGACATAAGGAAGTTAGATATTTTGCCCAGGACCCAGAGCCTCTAATATCAAACAAAGAATCCAGAAGACCTTGCGACTACGCAGTATACAGCTCAGCCCCCCCCCCCCCCCATTTTTCCATACCTCAAGTAATTCAGAAATAGAATTTTATGCTAGGAATGCCTTTCTTTTGTGTCAGAGACAATAAGCCCGTGCACAGTAATTAATTCATGTCACCGTTATTTGTTGAATGGCTGCCGTATGCCAAGGCCAGCCGTAAGTTCTTTCAGTTCATCCTCACGGTCCTCTGAGGCAGCTGCCATTCCTGTCCCCATTTTTATGGACAGGACAGCTGAGGCTTGGAGAGCTCAGATAATCTGCCCAAAATTACAGACTTAGACACAGCCAAGGGTCAAAGCCTGGACCTGCTGGCATCGCAGCACAGGCTCTTTCCATTAAGAGAGTCTAGCTTCTCGTATCACAGGGTTTCTCTACCTTGACACCTTGGACATTTGGGGTAGGATAGTTAATGTGGTGGACTGTCCTGTGTATTGTGGGGTATCTGGCCGCACCCACTGAATGCCAGTAGCAACTCCCCCCACCCCCTCGAATCCCTGCCGGAAGTAGTGATAGTCAGAAATGTCCCCCGGGGTAGGGGGCCTTTCTGTCGGGGGGGGGCGGAGAGACTGTTCATCTTGTTGTGTGCAGCCCAGCCTGCAGCCTTCCCATTTCCCTGCCCCTAATTCTGCAGCTTCTCCCCTAGGATCAGTGGCCCCCTCCCCCCCCCCCAGCCTGCCTGGATATATGCATGGCTCAGGGGCTGTTTGCCTGTATTTCCCTCTAGGGCTGTGGTGGAGGCTGTGCATCGACTCGACCTCATCCTTTGCAACAAAACTGCTTATCAAGAAGTGTTCAAACCAGAGAACATTAGCCTGAGGAACAAGTAAGCTGGAGACTCTAAACCACAGATCCTTACGGTTTCTCTCCCTTTCTCCCCCCGAAACGCTGTCACATGTAGACGCACGTTCTCTCTTACCTCCTGACCTCATGGTACAATAACGGGCTGTGAACTCTGCCCTCCTGAGAGAGGAAGTGGGGACCCCTCAGTCTCTCTGCAGCTTCTGCATCTAACAGACTGGTGCCATAAGGATGACATTGGAGTTGGGGGAGCTGGCCATGCTACAGAATGACAAGAAAGAAAGATGGGGTTAAAAGTCAGGAAAAAAGGAGAGAAGTGTGCAGGGGAAAAAGAAGATTATTAAAGTTTTTACTGCTTCCGCCTCTTTCCTTTGGGGCTCCCACTGCTTTCTAGGACTGCTGTTTGTCCCAGGTCATGCAGACTGACCCTGGATGTCCCTTGGGAGGCACAGGGATTTGTTGGGGTGTTGGCAAACGCCTCCTTGCCCCAAGGATGGTCAGTCTCTTGTGCTCCTCCGTACCCTCAGGCTGCGCGAGCTCTGCGTCAAGCTTATGTTCCTGCACCCAGTGGACTATGGGAGGAAGGCGGAGGAGCTGCTATGGAGAAAGGTGTACTACGAAGTTATTCAGCTTATCAAGACTAACAAAAAGGTAAGGGGAGGTCCTAGATTTTGAGAAGAAACGTTGTCTGAAGGAGGGAAGCTGAGAAAGGAAGAGATAGCTAGGAAGCTGGGCCAGGACGTGGTTGGAGGTAGAGGAACCAAGGAAAAGATGGCAGGAAGGAGGGAGGGGGCAGATGTAATTAGGATTTGGGGAGGGGGGAGCCTCATCCCAGATGGGAAGTTCAGAGAAGTGGATCTAAGGGTGTGGGGATAACTCGTGAGTGAAAGGAGAGTAGATGAAGTTTCAGAGCCAAGAATCTAAGTTCATTTCCTCGTGAGAGGAATGGGTTAGGGAGGAGGAACAGTCCTCTGAACTTACTGCTTAGCAGCCCCTTCGCTTTCCCAACGTCCAGCACATCCACAGCCGGAGCACCTTGGAATGTGCCTACAGGACGCACCTGGTCGCTGGGATTGGCTTCTACCAGCATCTGCTCCTCTATATCCAGTCCCACTACCAGCTGGAACTTCAGTGCTGCATCGACTGGACCCATGTCACCGACCCCCTCATAGGTCAGTGAAATCTGAAAGGTGGGCTTGAGGAGAAAGGGTATATGCCTCCACATCTGGCCTTCTTAATCTTCTGGGTTCTGTAGCTTGTGACCTACCCAGGCAGAGAGGATTCTAGCAAGACCTTCAGATGGTCCTTGGACTTCAGGTTTATCCAAACAAGCACATGAGGTAGGGTGAAGATCTGAAGGAAAGAAAGAGGTTTCTGTTGGTTGGGACTGTAGACTGAGTCAGAAGGAGGGATGGAATGATCTAGAGCAGGTCTGGCACTGGAGGATGGTATTAATAGCATTTGTTTTCTTCTTGTAGTTGAATTTGGTTGGTACCGTTTCCTTTTTCCTTTAAGTTTTTATTTATTTATTTACGTCATCTCTACACCCAGCGTGGGGCTTCAACTCACGACCCCAAGATCAGGAGCCTCCCACCTCCCCGACTGAGCTGGCCAGGTGCCCCCAGCACTGTTTCTTTTAACTTCAGAGATTGTTTCCCAATTTTTTTTTACAGGTATTGAAAGTTTTAGAAACGTTTGGGGATTTACAGACATTCCTGCAGGATAGCCCCGGTCTCTGTGCGGCTGCCTGAGGTGTCAGCGGCTCTGGCTGACACCTTGTCTGACCTCTGGCCCCTCACGCTCCTTCCCTCCCCCGACTCTGCCCCCGCCGTTGCTATAGACACTCTGGGCCCGAGCTTGTGTCTCTGCCGCCACAGGGCAGTCTCTGGTCAGAAGCGTAGCACCGCATTTGGTGCATTTACAAAACATGATTTAAAAACAACAGTGTAACCTAAGACCGCCCTCACAGACTTTATACCCGATGGCCAGAGAGGTCCAGAGCCCCCAAAAGTGAAGGACAACAAATAATGTCTCACTTCAGAGAATCAGTTCCCCAAACTCCCGTTTTCCTCCTCGTTGATGTTTTTGCGTTCAGCCAACTACGCTGTTCAGTCCGCTTTTCAGGGTGGGAATCACGCAGCCGGCATTGTGGCTGACGGTGGCGTGGACAAGGAGGGAGGGGCTCTGGAGCCAGTGTGCCTTTCGAGTCCTGGCTCTGCCACTTACCGCTGTGTGACAGTCTCCTTGACTGCCGCGTGGGGGCAGTGAGAGTGACCACCTCGTGAGGTTGCTGTGAGGATCCGTTAAATTGACAGAGTGACACGTAGACCAGTACCTGGCACGTGGGAAAACTGCCTCCCAAAGAGCTCAAGCTCTCTGAACTGAGGCTACAAAGTGCTTGGGTGAAGGGGGAATGGAGAGCCCAGCAGATCAGGCTCTGGCCACACCGGTCCTCAGGCATGACAAGCTCAGCTGTCTCCCTCATGGGCAGACCCTCCAGTAGGCAGCCTTCTCCGTACGCCTCCTCCCCAGGCAGAAGCCTGGGACACCTACCTTGGCCTCACATACAGGTTTCCCATCTCTACTCAGACCTTTCACCCTTATGTGGGGAGTTTCTACCCAAGGCACCCAAGACTGCCCTGACACTTGAGCTTCACCTCTTCTTCCTTTGTAGAAGCCCTCCTATGAAGACCTTTCACCTCACCTTCTCCCAGGGAACTGTCCTGGCCCAAGGACCCTCGCCCATCTCCTCCATTTCCTTCTTCTCTTGTGAATGACCCCTACCTGTGAGCCTCTGTCTCTCTACGTGGGTCCTGGATGCGTGTCTTCTCTGCCCCCTAACACTGTTTCAGGACGAGCTGTGGATTCTTGATCTCCTTTCTCCACCTAGGAAAGGTGTTTCCCATTAGGTAGGGGGCCGGGGAACGGGCTTCTGAGTGTCTCTGTCTGTCTTTCTCAGGATGCAAGAAGCCAGTGTCTGCGTCAGGGAAGGAGATGGACTGGGCACAGATGGCATGCCACCGATGTCTCATGTACCTGGGGGATTTGTGTAAGAATCGGAACCTTTCATTTTTGGTTTGGGCTCCAGGACAGGTGGAAAGCTGCTTCTGTTGTTGATAGCACCTTGTATGTGATGGGAGAGCAGGAGGAGTTTGGCTTCTATAACCCCCCCATCAAACGATGTGCCCTTGTAACTGCTCCTCCGTGAGCCAGAAAGGACCAGTGACTATGGAAGAAGGAAAATGAACTTTGAGAAAGTCTGGGTGATTAGTCAGTTTCAGTAGCGGGTTAGGAAGACCTTAATTAGATACTTTTCTCCTTCTTTGGGGTTTTTTTCTTTCTTCATGGACTCCTAGAGGAATTGAAGTTAGGTCTCATGGAGGACTTCCCTGCCTGACAAATGTTCTCAGAATGGAGGAGTACTCTCTTGCCTGCTGGCCCCTGGGCCTCTAGTCCTGGTAGCTAAAGGTTTCTCATTAGGCTGTTGGATGCATTACCTTTTGTCACCTGAGGCTCTTTCCCTCCCTGCCCCGCCCACTCCTGGTCCCCTCATGAGCCCTGTGCACAGAGAGAGCCAGCTGCTTTGTGTAGACTGGCCAGGGGTCCTCAGTAATGTCTTCACTTCAGAATCAAGCAGCTATATTCTAGAACCCAGCACCAGGGGTCTTCCCAAGCGGTTACGTCTGCTGCAGGTCCCCTTCATTGGGAGGAGATAAGCGAGAGTCTTTTTACAAACACTGATTGTTCTCTACATTTTGAAGCTACCAGCAAGGAAGAGAGAGTTGGACAATTTGCACATAGTCAGGCAGAGTTAAGATTGTGCCAGAGGCCCAAGCAGCCTGCCTCCCAGCTCAGGTATCTTCCTCCCAGGCTCTTACTACAGCTCCACAGAGTGGACTCCCAGACGAGGGGAGGTTTTTCTGAAACAGCATCATCACGTTTCCTTCCTTCTGTCTCCTGCAGCGCGATATCAGAATGAATTAGCTGGTGTAGACACTGAACTGCTAGCTGAGAGATTTTACTACCAAGCCTTGTCAGTAGCTCCCCAGATTGGTAAGTGGCACCCCCACTCAGGCCTCCCTACCAGGCAGCATTTTCCAACAGGAAGACAACGTTAAGAGGGCAGGCAGGCCGCACTGGCTTCCCTGGGTCCTTCCCATACTCGGTCCCATCAGACTTCACCTTGGTTGTGCATTCTCCCCCTCGGAACACACGCTCAAGAGAAATGCAGAGTCCTGATCTGAGAAGGAGGGAGGCAGAGGGGAAGAAAGAGAAGGCCCCCCTGTCCCTGAGGTCTCTGTAGAAGGAGGAACTTCTACTTTAGCTGTTCGCATGGCCTGCGCAGTGGGAGAAGGGAGATGGCTCTGTTACAGGGGGAAGTGGGGATTAGCTCGTAGTAGGAGAGCTCAGAGGTGAGAAACCGAGCTGGGATAGAGGAGAGGGCTCCCTGGCATTCCCTCAGCCTTGGAGGGGCCGCGGCCACCGCTGACGGGATGGCGCCCCTCGGTGCTGAATCCCTTGGCAGGCCAGGCCGGCCGTGAGTCTGTAGTCAGTCCCCTGGGGAAATAGGATCGGCTGCTCCTCCCCAGGGACACCGGTGTCCGCTGCAGACCCGGTCCTCCTCCCCACGAGAACCCGGTGCTCAGCAGTGCTGGGTCGTGGTGGTGACGGGTGCGTGTCGTGGCCCCAGACTGCGTGACTTCTGTCTCCCTTCAGGAATGCCCTTCAACCAGCTGGGCACGCTTGCAGGCGGCAAGTACTACAGCGTGGAGGCCATGTACTGCTACCTGCGCTGGTGAGTGCCTGCCTCTCCCCTGTCCCCCCAGCCCGGTGGCCTGCTTCTTCACGCCCCCCCCCCTTTCCTGCGCTGGGCTGAGGTAGCGCTGCTTGTCAGAGATCCCACTGGATTTGTAGGCTCTCGGGCAGCCAACATAGCTACCCGCTGTCTCCTGTAAGTTCAGGATTGCTGTCTGGAAGGAGGAAATACATGGGATGTGGGGGGTAAAATGTTATCAGGGTAGTGGCTGACAAGAAGTGCAGAACTGTCGAGCTTCAGTGTCTCACACCACACCGTGGTGACAGTGTGGGAGGACCAGCTGAGCAGCAGGGTGGCCCACTGTTTCCCCGGTGCTGATGCTCCCTCAGAATAAGAAACCTCGGTTTCAGCACAGCTGAGGCTGAGTGGGTTTAGGTCACTGAGTCGGCAGAGCCAAGTGCACATGTGCCTGATAGGTCGGCCGGTGGCTCTGATGACGTTATAGTCAGGAAATAAACTGCCTGGGCCCCCGTGGCAGCCTCATAGGGGTCGACGGCTCCATGAGAAGCCAGACATTTGCAGAAGACACTGCTGTGAACTGGGCTTCAAGGCAAAGGGAGTAAAGTAAGCTGGCCTTCGTAACTGGTCATGTGCCAAAGTGTAAAGATTATGCCTTGTAATTCCCTGTGCCATGATCCTTGGTTCACCTGGTCCAGGAAATCTTTTCCCTTGAATCAACACAGTATCTGCTCTTGGGGTGCCCGTCTCCTTTCTTGGATCGGTACAGACTGGCCCCCGAGGCCACTGTTTTCATTCTTAAATACAGTTACCAGGATTGTAGGTTTCCGTTGCCTCTTCCCCAATTCTCTTGTGCCTTCTGGGGAATGCCCCCTTGGTCCCTCATCACACCCATGACCATGATTTAGGGTGAGTCACTTCCAAAGCCAGCCCAGCACGTCCAGGTTTGGGAGGTACCTGCTGAGGTCCTGCCCTACTATGTTAAAGCATTCACGTCTCTTGTCCATGGGTTAGGTATTTGCGTGGGGCTCAGTCTGGCAGTTCTTTTCCCCCCAGTGGCCTTGTCTAGGATCAGTCACTGGTATTCAGCGGCCCTGGAGGGCTGATCTATCTGGATCGAGGCATCTGGGCTCATCCCCCCTCCCACTCCATGTGGTCTCTCTTCCTTGGGAGAGACGGATTTCTTATGTGGTGGCTCAAGGCTCCAGACAGTGGATAATGACCCAAGAGATTTAGAATCTGCCATTCTCTTATGACCTGGGCCTGGAAACTGGCAGAGTCACCTGCATGGTGTTCTGCTCGTCAGAGCAGCTGCGTTGCCTGGTCCTCCCCCTGGTCCCCCTGGTCCCCCCGGTTCCCCCGATTTAAGGGGAGGAGACACAGAACCCGCTTCTGAATGGAAGGAGGGTCAGTGAATTCATGGTCATCTTTTATTCGCCATTAACATGTATTTCTTTTCTATCCCTTGCTTCTTAACAATGAGAAGGTTGTTTTCCCCAGAAAAGACATTAAAAATGGCCCAGTGCACTGTTGGTGTCCTAGATACTGCAGTGAGGCAGGCTGGGCTTGGAGATTCTGCTCTAGCTTGTGTTCACCGTGGGCCTGCACAATATTCCTGCTCTTCCGGGCTCCACGTCCTCATGTGTATGTGTGGACAGTATATCGGTATGGGGCCTGGCACATGGTGCACACACGCACATCCGAACCAGTGTCGTGAGCCCTGAAATTGTGTGTACACTCCCTTGTATGCGGCCGGCCTGTTAGATGCCACCTGTTAAGTACTCTGCTTCACAAAAGACGGAGGCTGGTGTATTTCAGGGATGGTAACTTATTTAAGTCCATAACAGAGTAGAAGCAATCATTCCACTTACAGAGGAAGCAAAGGCATTATGTTCAGTATGTTTATCTGGAAGTTGTGTCTGTGTATTTTATCCGGAAAGATGGCCTTCACCCTGAGTCTGTATGTGAAAGGCGAGGCTGGGGGCAGCGTGCATTGGCCAGAAGCATTGTTCCCTAAAGCGCCAGTAGAGCACCGTCCCCTGCCGAGACTCCACAGCGTTCGTCTGTATCTCCTTCAGCATCCAGTCGGAAGTGTCCTTTGAGGGAGCCTATGGGAATCTCAAGCGGCTGTATGATAAGGCAGCCAAAATGTACCACCAGCTGAAGAAGTGCGAGACTCGGAAACTGTCTCCCAGCAAGAAGCGGTGCGTAGGGCCTGTGGGGTGGAGGGATCTCTGTGGCTGGTGCGGTGGGACCGGAGGGCTCGAGCTATTTGCCATTTCCCTTGGGCTCCTCTCCTTCCAGATGTAAAGACATCAAGAGGTTGCTGGTGAACTTCATGTACCTGCAAAGCCTCCTACAGCCCAGGAGCAGGTGAGTACAAGAGGGCAGGCCCTTGAGCTGTGTCCCGTGGGTCCCACCAGGGCGGCTCTCTGTGGCCTCCCCCATGCCCGCGGCTCCTTGTGCCTGCCCCAGACGGAGTCACGGACCTCCCTGTCGCTCCTGCCCTTCTGCAGCCCAGTGGACTCAGAGCTGACGTCACTCTGCCAGTCCGTCCTGGAGGACTTCAACCTCTGCCTCTTCTACCTGCCTCCGTCCGCCAGCCTCAGCCCAGCCAGCGAGGGCGAGGAGGATTACGAGGGCGGCTACGCTTTCCTCCCGGACCTCCTCCTCTTTCAGATGGTCGTCATCTGTCTCATGGGCGTGCACAGCTTGAAGAGAGCAGGTAACTCCCCGTGCCCTGCCTTCTCCCCCGGGGCGGCTGGGGGCCTCGCTGCCCAGCTTCCTCCCACGAGCGTTTGGCTGTGGGTGTGAGGGCCGGGGGACCCTACCCTGAAGGAGCTGCCGGTGAAGGAACAGAGGCCACGGCCCATCTCCACTCCCCCTCCCCTGGGCTCCTCCCAGACACACTCCTGGCCACAGCCCGCAGACAGGAGAGGCAGGGTACTTAGCCGATGACCCAGACAGAATTCAGACTTCGCTGTGGGGGCGCTCGGGCAGTTGTGCGGACCTTTCTGGCAGCGGCGCGCGCGGAGCCGGGTCGTGAGGGAGGGGGCGGCAGGGCCGGGTGTGCGGTGCTTGGGCTCTGAGGAGGAGCCCGCGTGAAGGCGTCCGAGCCGGGGAGGACGGCGTGGGGCTAGAGGGGACGCTTACCTGGGGACGCGCAGAGCGAGCTGATGCGTTCTAGACGGCGGGATAATCACGCAGAGACCTGAGAAGTCTTTTCTCCATAGAAGAAGCTTTGAGAAGTAGTTGGATCCTTGGAAGGGTGGAGACCAGGTGAGATGGGGCCGGAGCGAATGGCACCTCCTCCTCACAGCCCTGGGCCCCTGATGCCTGGCTCTCCTGGCTTTAGGGTGCAAGCAGTACAGCGCGGCCATCGCCTTCACCCTGGCTCTCTTCTCCCACCTGGTCAACCACGTCAATATACGGCTGCAGGCTGAGCTGGAGGAGAGCGAGAACCCCATGCCGGCGTTCCAGAGCGACGGCACAGGTGCAGGCGGTGGGGGGCTGCGACCAGGGCCCGGCCAGCCTGGGGCGCGGCGGGGGATGGGGTGGGGGAGGGCGCGGGCGTGGCTCGGGAGGAGGTGTTGAAGAGCACCTTCCAATTTCGGGGCTCCACTTTGTCCCGAGGCCCCTCCTGACTGTCCTCTCCGCACAGATGAGCCCTTGGAGAAGGAGGAGGTGCCAGGCCCTGAGCCCCCTCCCGCAGCACCTCCCTCAGGTGAGATCAGAAAGAGCCGGAAGTTCTCCCGTCTCTCCTGCCTCCGCCGTCGCCGCCACCCACCCAGAGCTGGAGAGGACAGTGACCTGAGCGAAGGCTTTGACTCGGACTCCAGCCACGACTCAGCCAGGGCCAGTGAGGGCTCAGACAGTGGCTCCGACAAGAGTCTCGAAGGTGGGGGTACAGCCTTTGATGCTGAGACAGACTCAGAAATGAACAGCCAGGAGTCCCGGTCAGACCTGGAGGACATGGAGGATGAGGAGGGGACACGGTCCCCAGCCCTGGAGCCCGCTCGGCCCAGGTCAGAGGCTCCCGAGTCTCTCAATGGCCCCCTGGGCCCCAGTGAAGCTAGCATTGCCAGCAACCTGCAAGCCATGTCCACCCAGATGTTCCAGACCAAGCGCTGCTTCCGACTGGCCCCCACCTTCAGCAACCTGCTCCTCCAGCCCCCCAGCGAACCTCACACCGTGGCCAGCCGCACGCCCTGTGTCAACGGAGATGCGGACAAGCCCTCGGAGCCAGGTAGCTCTTCGGGCTGCTCTGGTCCGCACTTGGCGCCATCGCCTGCCTCCCCACACGACCCCCGGCCCTCGGCCCCCCAGGGGACCTCTCTCCCGAGGCTCTTCCCCACACAGGAGGCGCCCAGGGCCTGCTCTCTCCGGCGCCGGACTGTTGGCTGTTGTCTTGTCGAACTTTCTCAGCGCTCTTGTGGGGGAAGAGTTCTCGTTCCTCTTCTAAATGCTGCTTCTTGCCCCTGGCCTGTCGCTTGGCTCGTTCTTAATTTGCCCTCTGGCTTTCCCTTAGCAATCCCGGGGTCTAGGGTTCTTTTGAGGCCAGGGGAGATTTCCTCCCTGTGGGCTTCTGTAGTCTCTGCCCTGCCACAGCCTCTAGGCCTCTCCCACTCAGGCGTACTTGTCGGTTGGCTTGTCTGTCTCCCCAGCGAGACCATGAGCCTCTTGGGGGCAGGACGTGTGTGTTCGGTCTGTCCTTGGATCCTCAGTTTCTCATGCCGTGCCTGTGTGTGGGTGGGACGCAGGGAACGCTTCAGGGATAGAAGCAGCTAGGGAGCCAGGGTGCAGAGCTGGAGCGGCCTGCTCCGTGCTCTGACCTGCTGGGTTAAAGAGGTAGGAGGTGGGATCGTCCTTTTTTCTTTTTTTTCCCCAAGATTTTACTTACTTATTTGACAGAGAGAGACACACTGAGAGAGGGAACACAAGCAGGGGGAGTGGGAGAGGGAGAAGCAGGCTCCCCGCCGAGCAGGGAGCCCGATGCGGGGCTGGATCCAGGACCCTGGGATCACGCACGACCTGAGCTGAAGGCAGACGCTTAACGACTGAGCCACCCAGGCGCCCCATTTTTTTTTTTTTTTATTTAGTTTATTTATTAGCGTGAGCCTGCGTGAGGGGGGAGGAGTGGAGAGGGAGGGAAAGGGGGAGAGAGAATCCCAAGCTGACTCCATGCTGAGCACACAGCCCGACACGGGGCTCGATCTCACAGACCTGAGGTTGTGATCTGAGCCGAAACCAGGAGTCAGACACTTAACCGAGTGAGCCACCCAGGCACCTCAGGGGTGTTTCTTTTAATTCTGTATGCCTTTTCTTCCCCCCCGACAGCTCCCTTCTGATTGTCTGCCCTGCTTTCTAGCAGAGAGTAGGCCTTTTATAAATGCTGGTTGAGGGAATAGCTGTAGATCATCCTGCCAAGTTAGCTTGAGACAGAAAGAAGTGTATTTTGTTTGTTTTTGTTTTTGTTTTTTAAGATTTTATTTATTTGACAGAGACATAGTGAGAGAGGGGAACACAAGCAGAGGGCGTGGGAGAGGGAGAAGCAGGTTTCCCGCGGAGCAGGGAGCCCAACACGGGGCTCGATCCCAGGACCCTGGGATCATGACCTGAGCCGAAGGCAGACGCTTAGTGACTGAGCCACCCAGGGGACCCAGAAAGAAACATTTTTTGTTTTTGTTTTTAAGATTTTATTTATCTGTCAGAGCACAAGCAGGGGGAGCGGCAGGCAGAGGGAGATGGAAAAGCAGGCTCCCCACTGAGCAGGGAGCCAGATGCAGGGCTCGATTCCAGACCCCTGGGATCATGGCCTGAGTCGAAGGCAGACGCTTAACCAACTGAGCCACTTAGGCGTCTCAAGAAGGGTGGAGACAGCAGTCTCTTGGCTTAAAAGCATCAGGTTAGTGGGCGTAGAAAGATTAAGCAGGAGCGCGTAGCGAGTTCCCGATCTTTCACATTAGAACTCTGCTCCAGAGGGCAGGCAGGGAGAGTATGCCCCCCGGCCTGGAGCTGAAGCCCGATGCCGCGTGCCTGCTGTTCATCTTGGCTCTCTGTTCCCCACCCCCAGCCTCTGAGGAGGGCTCCGAGTCAGAGGGCAGCGAGTCTAGCGGGCGCTCCTGTCGGAATGAGCGCAGCGTCCAGGAGAAGCTACAAGTCCTGGCGGCCGAAGGCCTGCTTCCCGCCGTGAAGGTCTTCCTGGACTGGCTGCGGGCCAACCCTGACCTCATTGTCGTGTGTGCACAGGTGCGGCGCTCTGGGCGTTGGGCGGGGAGCACAGCCAGGAGGTCCCTCAGCTGGTTCCGTCACCACAGAAGTTACGGCAGGCATCTGCTTTGGGTGGGCCCTTAGGCTTTTTACAGGGAAAGGATTAGATGTGACCTTTGCCCCCAGGAGCCTGTGGCCTGGGCTGGGCCCCACCGTCCGCGGACAGGGAAAGCGAGAACTGCTCAGTCCACTTCGTGCCCCTTGCACCGGGAGGACTGGGCTCGACGAAGGCGTGTGTGTGAGGGCCGGCCTCGAGCCTGGTCCCGGAGTCCAGGGGGAGGAGGGGGCACCGAGTGGTGCCGGGGAGACGGGACCCAGGGACGGCGGCACCGCCAGACGGGGTGGAGGCGTTGGGGCGCAGGGGAACAGTGGAGGGCATGGTATCAGGCTGGCGCTGTGGAGGCAGGGGGCGCGGGCGCCTTCTCCCCAGGTTCGGTCTGTCTTGAGCCTTGAGGGCCCTGGGGTTTTTGTCCAGTGTTGCTTTATCCCAGGAACACGTCTGCTGTGCCGTGGAAGACCCCCCCCCCCTGTAGGTTGCCCTCCTCCCCAGATGAGATTTGGGGTTAGGGGCCAGGCACACCGTTGGGTGTGTGCTTAAGTGTGCTGGCAGCGGGTTACTCACCACCGTAGTCATCGGGTGTGCTAAAGGTGGGGTCCCCACACAGGTGTCCCAGGATGGGCACACGGAAGGCTGAACAGTGGGGAGAAGCCGCCTCCAGCCCTCTAGCTTTTCCCACTCCCAGAATCCAGAGTGTTCTTCCTGTGGCCTCACACCGTCTCCCCATGATCTTGCTGCTGGTGATGAAGTTCAGCCAGGCCCGTGGTCCCCCCTCATTCCTCATGGGATCAGCTCCCTGTTTTCCAGGTCTCCCAGGAGTCCCACCCCTTGGCCTCTAGTTAATTTTTCTGTCAGGTCGCTCTAGGCCTGTGGCCATAGCCCCTAGACCCCCCAGGTGTCCTGCTTTTCTCGTCCCCCACTCTGCTGAAGGCCTGCCCTCTCCCCAGAGCTCTCAAAGTCTGTGGAATCGCCTGTCTGTGTTGCTGAACCTGTTGCCAGCTGCTGGTGAGCTCCAGGAGTCTGGTGAGTGGGTGCCCAGCACCGCCCCCCTTCCCCTCTCCCTTGTGGCCCCACGAAGCCCAGCCCCCTCCCTGGTAACCCAGCCTGGGGCGAAGGCGGTTAATGGACTCAGTGACTTGCCACCCTGACACACAGCGGCCATTGTGGTCTCTGCGTCTCCGGTTTCCCCCAACACTGCCTCCCTGTGGGCAGGTGGCCTGGTTGGCCAGGGAGTGTGCTCCCCGGGGAAGGCCGTGGGGTGGGCAGGAGCAGAGAGAGGCGAGCCTGGGAGCCAGTCCCAGTCGCTGAGAGTCCTCCTGGGGCTCCAGAGCTCATCCCCTCCTGCCACCTGCAGCCATACCTGTTCTCTGGTTCCCACCTCTGGCCTCACCTGAGAGATGTGCATGTCCTCCTCCAGAGCCCTCCTTGGGTCCACCCTGGTGTCGGGGAGCCTCTCACATCAGAGCCCATTGCTCCCCGTGCCTGCCCTGCTCCCCCAACCCCACCAGCTCTGCTCTCCGTGAGCCGTGTGGAACGGCCCTGTGTGCCCATCTCCCTGTTCTACAAGGGGAAGGGCTGCGTTCCTCTGGGGGCTTCCACAGGGCAGGTGGTCTCACGTGTCTTCTCCCCAGGCCTGGCCCTGTGTCCCGAGGTCCAGGACCTTCTCGAAGGTTGTGAACTGCCTGACCTGCCCTCCAGCCTGCTGCTCCCAGAGGACACGGCCCTTCGTAACCTGCCTCCCCTCCGGGCTGCCCATCGACGCTTTAACTTTGACACGGATCGGCCCCTGCTTAGCACCTTAGAGGAGGTGAGGATGGTGTTTCTGACGCCACCAGCTCTGTTGTTCGTCCAGCCCCGCAGTGAAGCAGGTGGCCCTCCCGTCCAGACAGGCAGGGTGTCCTCAGGGTTGGGCTGGCCATGCCTCCTTCGTGAGCCGCGGAGCTTGCTCTCCTTCCTGCAGGCTGCTCCTTTATGGGTGTCTGCTCGTGGGCTTCCCTCCACCATGTCCACCTTTTGCAGAGGGTGGAACGGGGGAGCCATTAGGGCTTAGGAGCTGTTCTCATGCTCTTTTCCACTCTGGGTGCAGTGTCCTATGAGCTGGACAGGAGGCCGTCAGAGAGCTGGAAGGGGGAATGCTGCCCGCCCAGGCCGGTCACCCTTGCGTCTGCGTTCCCGAGCGGGCCGTCTGGGGACGGCAGGGGAAGCCAAGCAGACAGGCGCCCAGCGCCCTCACTGGCACACGCATAGGCCTCTTGCTTGTTCCTCTCCAGCCAGAGCACCTTGGCTCTAGTCTGTTTCATGTTTTAGGGTTCTAGAGAAGATTTTTGTTTGATGGGGAAGAGTTGTTTTGCCAACCAAAAAAATAGTGCAGTCCCCTTGTTTTTCACATAAGACCCCAAGGAGGGAGGTGGCGTAAGCGCCCGGATCCTCCCACTCTCAGCCCAGTGCGCTGCCTGTTCTGTCTCCACCTGAGCCCTGGTTCACCAGTCCTGCCTGGAGTCTCCTTTCCCGGCAACTCGAGGCTCTGGGTCTTGGGGCTCCCCTCTCCCACCCCCCAGACTACGGGCCTTTCCAAGGAGCCCCCGCCTGACTGGCTCCCACATCCCCTCACAGTCGGTCGTGCGCATCTGCTGCATCCGCAGCTTTGGCCACTTTGTGGCCCGCCTGCAAGGCAGCATCCTGCAGTTCAGTCCGGAGGCCGGCATTTTCGTGAGCATTGCCCAGTCGGAGCAGGAGGGCGTGCTGCAGCAGGCCCAGGCGCAGTTCCGCATGGTGAGTCGTCCTGCCTCCCCTCCCTGTCTGCTCTGCTCCCGCCGGGCGCGCTGAGAAAGCAGGCCTAAGAGGCCCCGATGGACCGGGGGCCCCTGATGGAAGAGCTCAGGGATGGGGGCTGCGGGGTGGGGGCTGCGGGACGGGCCAGCAGACAGGGAGGGAGCGGTGCTTTGAGTAGAGGCAGCAAGGCACCAGGCCTGTGTCCAGACTGCCTGGGCTTAAGGGCCATCTCTGTCCCCCCCGAGTCTGAGCTCCTTGCTAAGCCTGCTTCATAGGGTAGTCGTGACGCTAGGATGAGTGTGCATCTTGGGCACCGTGTGTGCTCAGCAGGTGCTCCTGGCCCTTCCTCTCGGGGGAATGCAGACTCGGGGCAGGGGGAGTGGCAGGATCCGGGTGTCAGACGCCAGGCAGGATCCTTCCCTCCAGGAGCCCCAGAAAATAGGAGGTGGCCGGGGTTACCTCCTCTCCATTCAGAATCTGGTCCCCACACACTGAGCGTCTGCTCTGTGCCAGGCCTGTTCATTCTGTAGGTACCCGGGTCACAGCAGCAAACAAGATAGTCCTTTCTCTTGTGGGGCTGACGCTCGGGGAGCAAAATCCAGGCTCTGCGCCGGGGCTTCCCACGCTCCGAGCGTGCCATCCTCCCTGGCCGGATGGCGGTGCATTCGGTGTGGGGGGTGTCTGGCACTGAGGCACGGCCCACGTGTCTCTGCAAACGTCCACGGTTCTTCTTCGTTCCAAGCTGCAGGCCTCCCTGCCTCTCTGAGCACCCCCTTCCTGCAGACGTTGCACGTGGCTGGGAAGGGGCACAGGCTCACCAGAAACTACCTTCTTTGCAATCTTAAAAGCAAGCTCGTTTTGTTAAAAAAAAAAAAAACACTTTTTGTGTTAAGGGTTTTGTTGGTGTTCTGTAGAGGAAAACACATAATTACAAAGATAATCATGGGGAAATTACACAGCTTTAAAAAGTGGTAGCTTTTGGAGGCATTTCCTTTAGCTTAAAGCTCCAAGGCTCTTCCTTAGGGACAGGGAGCACCTGAAAGCCCCTCGCGGGTGGTGCTGGACCCCGAGGTCACGTCGTCTGTTGGGGCTGCGCCCTGCGCTGCCGAGTGGCACACGTCCACCCCAAGGGCTCATCCATTAGCAGCAATTGTGGCCCTCCCCATATTGACAACTGCCATCACGTATCGAGAGCTTTCTGCGTGCCAAGTCGAGTTGGCCCAGGACAGCTCATTCGACCCTGGGCGCAGCTCTGCAAGGGGCGCTTACCCTCTCCTGCGCTCGCCCAGGGGACACAGAGCCACAGAAGACAGACCGTCCATGGCAGCGCCAGGGCTCTGAGATTGGGCAGACTGGCTCTTCTAAGCTGCTGTGGGGCGCGGCTTCTCTGCAGGCCCGCTGGGTGCCAGGGCCACTGCTCCTGCTTCGGGACTCTGGCATCTGCCCGGGTTAGGGACCCATCTTTCCTGTGGTTCCTCAGGTGTTCCCTGAGGACGGCAGAGGCCCACATCTCTGAGCCACTGGCCCAGGGATGCCAGAGCCCGAGGGTGGTGCGGCTCTCCTCTTCCTGGATCCAGATGGATGCCTGCTCCCCCTCCCACCCCCCCACCCCTTCACCCCCCCACCCCCCCGGCAGAGGGGGCGTCACAATTCCAATTCCAGCCTGACAGGCTGTTCCTGGGCTTGATTCCTACAGACAGCACTCCCCGTCCTTGTCAGTCTGCCGGCAGGGCCTGCTCGGGTGCCTCTCCTTGCTGCACCCGGGTTTCTCCAAGGGGCCATTCTGTCGTGCAGGACTCTGCAGGGGCGTAGATGAATCTTGCACAACTAAGACGTCGGGACAGGTGCAGTACTGTTAACCATAGATTTTATTCAGATTTCACTATATTTTCCACTGACGTCTGTTTTCTTTTTTGTTTTTTTAATTACTTGAGAGAGAGCAGGAGGAAAAGACAGCACAGCAGGGAGAGGGGCAGGGGGAGAGGCTGAACAGGGAGCCCGATGCGGGTCTCGATCCCAGGACCCTGGGATCATAACCTGAGTCGAAGGCAGACGCTTAACAACTGAGCCACCCAGGCGCCCCCTTAATCTCATCTTTAGTCCACGTTAGGGAATTTGGGCTTCATCCAGAAGACAAAGGGAAACCATCAGAGAACTTTTAATCAGGGCCACCGGTGCACAGCAGATAGTGTCTGGTTGCCGGTGGGGAAGGTGGCTGGGGGTAGGGCCAGGGGCCAGGGAGGAGGAGGTGGGAGGAACCAGCTTAGACAGGGGGTCACGCAGTGGAGGGGAGCGGAAGGGTGTGAGCAATTTTTAGGTGGTGCGGTCGGCAGGACGGGGAAGTGGTAACTTGGGGAGCCGCTAGGGAATGGTCACAGCCCACTCTGCCGCCGCCTCGCGCACATGGTGGCTGGTTTCCCACGTCAGGGACCACCAGAAGGGGAACAGCAGGTTTGGAGGAGCAGAGGGGGCTGTGTGGGCTGGAGCTGCGGATTTGGAAGTTGGCAAGTGGATGGTGATAGAAGGTCGGGTATGCGGGCACCGCACGGAGCAGAGGGGCAGAGCAGGAAGCCTGATGTGCAGCCACGGGCACCTGGGCCGGCGAGAGCTTCGGCGCGGGTCCCAGGTCCTTCTCTGCCAGAGGAGTGAGTGGTTTGTCTCCCGAGCCTCCCTTTCCCTGTCTTAGCGGGAGCGAGAGAGCTGACTTCACATGAGGGCTTCCTGTGTGGGACCCTGGGAAGTCTCGGATAGTCTGTTACACCTCTGAATTGCTGGGGAAAGGACTGTGACCCCAGCTCTTGGTCCCAAGCTGAGCATGCGTTTTGCCTCGTAGGCACAGGAGGAAGCCCGTCGGAACAGGCTGATGAGAGACATGGCCCAGCTGCGACTTCAGGTGGGCACTCGGGACTCAGCTGCCCCTGCTCTTGCTCTGGTCGTGGGCCAGGCGCCACCAGCAGACCGTCCCCCCCAGCCGCTGCCCCCTGCTCTGTGGCACGGCCCCCGTTCTGTTCCGCTGCCTCCCCTACCCCGTTCCAGTGTGCCCCCCCCAGCTCCGTTCCGTCCCCCCGCTGCTGCGGTGGCCTTCACTTCAACCGCGTCACCTCCCAGGCCGCCTTTCCTTGGCTACGTCCGCACTGAGCCTTGGTGGCCCCTTTCTGCTTCCTCTGTTGTCTCGCCTTCCTCCTTACTTCTCCTTCTTCCTGCTCCCCTCTCCTCCAAGGCCTTGGTATAGGGAGCCCCCTGCCCCCCTTGCAGCAGGAGACGCCCCACGAGGGCCCCCTTGGGTTCCACCCTCCCCGCCCAGGCTGCAGGGCCCGCGCAGCCCCACACTCTGCCCTCTGTCCCCAGCTCGAGGTCTCTCAGCTGGAAGGGAGCCTGCAGCAGCCCAAGGCCCAGTCGGCAATGTCTCCCTACCTCGTCCCCGACACCCAGGCCCTCTGCCACCACCTCCCGGTCATCCGCCAGCTGGCCACCAGCGGCCGCTTCATTGTCATCATCCCGAGGACGGGTAGGCGTGCTGGGAGGTGGGGGGACAGGGTGTGGCTAAGAAGGGACTTTGGGCTTGCGATGGAGAAGCGCTCACGGGGGCCCAGTTTCCATACCGTGGCCTCGGTCGAGTCCTGCCACCTTTCTGAAGCTCGGTCGCTTCATCTGTGGAACGCACGTGACAGTCTCTTATTAAACTCTGACTCACGAGGTGGGTAGGGGAAATGAGAGAAAAATCTAAGCAAACGCACGTGCTGCAGTGCCGGCTCTGTTGCTCGTGGAAGGCCGTGCTTCGGAAGAGCTCTGGGAGCCGTGTAGGAGCCCCGGGCCCTGCTTTTCTCCTGCAGTGGGGCGGGGGGGGCTGGGGGACCCCCGCGAGCTCAGCCGCTTCCTGCGGAGCCCTGGGCCACAGCAGTGAGAGCTCACCTCCTTCATCCTTCCTCACCCCCACCTTGTCCACCAGTGATCGATGGCCTGGACTTGCTGAAGAAGGAACACCCAGGGGCCCGGGATGGGATCCGATACCTGGAGGCAGAGTTTAAGAAAGGAAACAGGTGGGTGTGGGCCTGGCTGGGCCTCTCCCGAGCCCCGGGTCAGGCTCCCCGACAACAGTGTTTGTCCCTGGCTCCCCATGGGGAGATGTGATTACAGGTCGGGGTCTCAGGTGTGGATGGAGGGTGGTCACGGGGGACACTGACTCGCTGTCTTTTTGCTCCTGGGGCAGACACGAGGTCAGCATCAGCAGGGAGATGGGGGCAGGACCCTCCCCCCCCCCCGCCAGCTGTGGTCTGTGGGCTCCTTGGCAGGAGTTTCTGCCGTTTTAGGGCTGGGCCGTGTGATCAGGGCTACCAGGGTGCCGTCCCCGTTGCAGCTAGCGAGGGGCCGGCAGGTGGCGGCGCGCCCGGTGCTCGGGCCCGCACAGGCCCTCCCTTCCAGGCTCTGGGGCTGGGAGAGTAGCAGGCGGTGGGCGCAGTGGAGGGAGAAACTGGCCCCTGGTCCCCGGCTCCCCCGCTGCCTCTGCCCAGCTGGGAAGCCGCACAAAGCCTGCTTGTTTGGACCTTGTCTGCAGAAGTCCTGACTTGAAAAGCATCTGCTGTTCCTCCCTTCTCGGCTCCCCCCTCTCCCCCCGGGAGGAGCTGAAGGATCGATGTTATCAGGAGGAGGAAAAGCGAGCTGGGCTCAGTGGCCAGGAAGTTCCTTTGAAACGGCTCCCAACAGAGCTGTGATGGGAGACACTGGGCCCCCTCCCCCTGGGCCACAGCGAGATGCTTTGTGGGAGGCGCTCCACCCCCCTGACCCCCCCCCCACCGCCGTCTCCTTCATAGGTATATTCGCTGCCAAAAAGAAGTGGGCAAGAGCCTCGAGCGGCATAAGCTGAAGAGGCGGGATGCGGACGCCTGGTAAGATGCTGGCCCCGTGCTCCTGGAGCCGCGGCCGGATCGCCCGGCCTGCCCCCGTCTGAGCTCTCCCCGGGCCAGACGGCCCTGCAGCAGCTAGCGGGCCAGCCCAGTGTCGCCTGGCCCGCCAGGGCGTCCTGCACCTGCCCCCTGCGGGGACAGAGAAGGGGCTCTAGCCCCGGAGCCCCTGTGGCCCTGAGGTGCCGGCGCTCGGTGTCCCGCCTCAGCGTCCCTCCGCCCACTCCCTGCAGGACACCCTCCAGAACCACCGCCCTGGCCGCCTGGTTTCTCGCGCTCCTGCTGCCCTCCCTGTCTCCAGCTTCCCCTGGGCCCCGGGGACCCTGGCGCCCGGGCTGCGCTCACGCTGGGGCTTGGCCCACCTCCTCTTCCTCCCAGGACTCTCTATAAGATCCTGGACAGCTGCAAACAGTTGACTCTGGCCCAGGGGGCAGGCGAGGAGGACCCGAGTGGCATGGTGACCATCGTCACGGGCCTTCCACTGGACAACCCCGGTGCGCTCTCCGGCCCTATGCAGGTAGGTCCGTGAGGTGGGGAGATGGGTGAATGGGGAAGAGGTGCCAAAGTGGACTCCCTCCTCAGAACACTCCACACACTTGCTTTTCTCGCTTCCCCCATCCCTTAGGCAGCCCTACAGGCCGCTGCACACGCCAGTGTGGACATCAAGAATGTTCTGGATTTCTACAAGCAGTGGAAGGAGATTGGTTGAGACGGACCCCCAGGCCCTGCAGTGGGGCTGCATCCAGATCTCTCCTGCCCTCCCTGGCAGCCAGGACCACCACCTGTAGTCACCCCACCACACGCAGACTCACGCACGCACGCAGGAAGGAAGCCCAGCTGCACACAGGCCGCAGGGAGGGCCCGGGAGCCGCAGGGAGGGCCCAGAGCCGGCTGGGAGGGCGGGTCCCCCTGTCGCCAAGACGACGTCAGGAAAGCGGGGGAAGTGTTGGGAGCAGGAGAGGCCTGTGGGCCCCCAGCCAGCCCTTCTGCCTCAGCCCCCTACTGTCCCCAGGGGCAGGTGGCAGGCATGGGCGTCTGCGTTCCATTGGAGTGGTTTGTGGACCTCTGAGGGGAAGGGACAGCAGAAGGGCCCCTCTTCCTCACTCAGGACGCAGGGTGGTTGGCGCCAGGAGTTGGATCCTCCGCTGCCGGGGGGGAGGAATTGGGTAACACCAGATGTGTGGGTGATTCTCTGCAGACCCTTCCCCTCCTGGAGGACCCCCCGCTGTCCTCCCCTCCCTTTGCACAGGGGCAGCTCTGGAGCCTTGGGGACTCTTCCAGAAGAGGGGCCTGGAGCTGCCGGCACCAAGAGCAGGGCCAGGGCTCGCCTCCTCCTGCTGCTGTGGGGGCCATGCACCCAGCCGCCCCGCTTCTGCCCTCGCTCTGTGCCTGCCCAGCTTCCGGGGCACGGAGCAGGCCCCTCTGACGGCAGGCTGCACCTGTGCATGGGGCGGAGTGCGATGCCAGGAAGAGGGGTGCGGTGCCAGGCCACCAGCCCCCTGACGGTCTGGGAGAGGCCTGCGTGGGGGTGGGCCGCAGAAAGGAGGGGCCCGTAGAGCTGCCTGGTCAGGGGCCTGCTGTCCTGCTGGGGCTGAGCATGGGACTCGCTCGTGGCCAGTGGCGAGGTGAAATGTGGGAGCCGAGATCATGAATTGCTCAGGGCAGGGGGTGGAGCAGCAAGGGCAGGCTGTGGGGGGGGCTCTGGCCAGGAACGCCTCTGCCCCTTGCCCTGGGGCCGGCCAGGAGCTCGTGGGGGGCGCGGGGAGGGGGTCTCGGCTCTGCTGCCCCCACCCTGGCGCTAGCCTAGCTTCCCAGGCTGTTCTCAGAGGCAAGCAGGCTTCTTGCCTCCTTCCTCTAAGACGGCGAGCCTGGGACGACCTGGGGGGCAGTGGGGTCACCCGGACTCCCAGTCCCTGGCAGTGACTGAGACTGAAGCATCACTTAATAAAGACCCCTCGAAGCCCACCCCGTCCCCTGGTGCCGTTCTGTCCGTCGTACTGGGGTGTGGGTGCTTTCTTGCTGAAACGGCGTTTCGGAAAGGTTTCTTTGAGGTGAACCCCTCCAAGCAAGAAGCCGGCAACTCGGGCGGAAGCTCTGGGGATGGCTTTGTGGAAGACACAGTCGCGTTCGCTGGCCCTGTGAGCAGCTGGTGCCTTCGCAGGGGTGTTAGGTGCCAATTCTGGTGAAGACGGAAGCTCTTCCTCCAGGGGGCCATGGGCGGGAGCCTAGAGACCAGCCTCTGGAGCCTCAGCCCCGTCTTCCTGCGAGGACCGGCCCGTCCAGTGTGTCGGGACCAACAGGCTCACGGGTTACCTGGTGCTTCAACCAGCACCTCCTGAAGGCCTTCGCTCTGGACTCTGCCCAGTACCAGGCGCTAAGAGGCACCAAAGCCCAGGGAGAGGGGCTTTCTGAGGTCACAAGTCAGGATTTGGATTCCTGTGCCCAGCCTAAGGCAGAGCCCCCCCGCTCCTGGCAGGACCTGACCCCTCCGGCAGCCTGGTCTGAGGAGGGCTCTGCGGCGCCCTGCCTGTTGTGGCCAGTCTGGTGTCCGTGGGCTTGGGTCACGCTGGAGGGGCTGGCTGTGTGCAGGAGGCCGCGTGAGCTGCCTGCTAATGGGGCTGGGCCACCCCACGCTGCTCCCTGGGGGCTGGACAAGGCTGGGATTGTTCCCCGGCTCCCCTTTGTCTCACTCCCCGCCTGGGCCAGGCCTGCCTGCCCACCCACCACTCTCTCCCTCCCGTCAGCCTGGCTGGCTGGAGCCTGGGACTCTGCCCGAGGAGCCCTGGGCCTGCTGACCCACCGGCTTCGGAGCGCCCGCCAAGGTTCGGGTAAGGCAGCGCACCTGGGGCATGACGCCTGCTCTGGGGGACCAGAAGTAAAGCGCCTGCTCCAGCCCCCCTCCTCTGGTCCCATGGCCACGGCACACAGTCCTGCAGAGACCCTAAGCCCTGCCGCTAAGGGAAGGGACCCTGAAGGGAGCTAGGCCCCAGCGTCTTCACTCCCACCCGTGCCCTAGGGAGGTGGGCAGCACGCGGGATGGGTCAGACCACCCCCATCCCATTCCTGGGAGGGGCGGGGATACCCGGGAGGCCTCGGGAGGCCTCGTCTAAAAGCTCAGCTGGGGCCCAGGGACTGGAGACCAGGTCTGCCTCTGCCCCGCAGGGCTGCCAGCACCCAGCTCGAAGGCGGAGAGGGCCTGGCAGGAGCAGAGGCTTGGGGGACCCGCCCACGGAGTGAGGTCCCCAGTGCGCGGCACACACGCAGACCGCCACCGGGGGAGGCAGGAAGACGGGCGGGGCCGGGCTGTATTGTTGCCGCGCGGTTTTGGCCGGGAGGGGGAGGGTCTTATTCTCCCTCCCCCGGGGCGGCTCCACCCGCCCGGCTGGCCCAGCCCCTCCACTGGTGCCAAGGAATGTGCCTGGGAGGGGCGGGCGGGGCAGCGGAGCCGCGGCCGCCTGGAGGCAGCGCACAGGTCTGGAACTGAGAGGTACGGGTCTCAGGAGGGTCGGGGACCCCCGGGGCACATGAGAAGTCCTTAGAGAAGAGCCAGACACCCCGCTAATTCGTTGCCCCTCCCACAGCCATCTGGCCTCTCCAGGAGTTCTCGGCAGCATCATCCGCTGGCTGTGCTCAGCCCCAGCTCTGTGGGCCAAGGGGCGTTCTGGTGGGGGGCAGGGGGTGCGTGAGCGCTCTCCACACTGACCTCCCCGACTCAGGCTTCCCTGGAGACAGAAACTGGAGGCTGGGGACCCGGATCCAGGGTCTGGGGCTACTAACAGAAGCCGCCTTCGGGCTGGGGAGCACCCTGCGCTCAGTCTGTCCTGGGCTGAAGCCGAGCAGCCCCTGGGGCCGGGGGCGGGGAAACGGGGGTGGGGTGGGGGTGGTGCTGAATAGTCCAGGCTGGGATGGAGAGGGGGTCACGTGGTAGGAGGACGGGGAAGCCAGCTCCCACCCACTCGTGCGCGGGCGGGCACATACCACCCTGGGTCCCAGTGACCAGGTCCGGCCTGGACCAGGGTGAGAAGGGGCCTGTGGATGGGGACAGATACCTGATGCCCTCACCCCGCACTTTGTCTCTAGGTCACAGTGTGGAGGTGCCGGGCCACCATGCTCAGTCTCAAGCTGCCCCAGCTCCTTCGAGTCCACCAGGTCCCTCGGGTGAGGGGCTTGACCCACCACCTCCCACTCCCAGGCTACTGACGGGGGCAGAGGCTCTTCCCTTTGAGCAGTTGGGCATGGGTGAGGGGGGCTCCTTCCTGCAGCCCGTCTTATGCCTGCCATCCCTCTGCTCTCTAAGGAACCTGGGGCCACCCCTCCCCAGAGCCCAGAATTCTCCTCCACCCAGAGTCCCCTTCTTCCCCGGCGCCCCAGCCCATCCCTCCTCTCTGGGCCCCTTCCCGCTGCCTCCTCGCTTTCTCCTCTGCTCTCTGGGTACTTGGGACTTGCGGTAAGATGGGGGTCGGATTTGGTTTGGCTTTGGGGCCGTGGTGCCCTCCAGCCCGTTCTCTTCGACGCCGCTTGCACAGATCTCTCACGGGGAGGAAGGAGCGGGCCCAGTGACGCCCCTCCTGTGTCCACCCCCCCACCCCGCCACGCACAGGTGTTCTGGGAAGACGGCATCATGTCTGGCTACCGCCGCCCCACCAGCTCAGCCCGGGACTGTGTCCTCAGCTCCTTCCAGATGACCAACGAGACGGTCAACATCTGGACTCACTTCCTGCCCACCTGGTGAGCGGCGCCCCGAGGGGGTCCTCGACGGGCAGGGGCCGGCGGGCCCGCGGGCGTGGCGGGTGGGCGGCAGGCCTGAGCTCCTGCCCGCCGCAGGTACTTCGTGTGGCGCCTACTGGCGCTGGCGGGGGGCCCGGGCTTCCGGGCGGAGCCGTACCACCGGCCGCTGCTCGTCTTCCTGCTGCCCGCCTGCCTCTACCCCTTCGCGTCGTGCTGCGCGCACACCTTCAGCTCCATGTCGCCCCGCGCGCGCCACATCTGCTACTTCCTGGACTACGGCGCGCTCAGCCTCTACAGCCTGGGTGAGCGCCCCGGGGTCGGGGCGGGGCCGGGGCGGGGCCGGGGCGTTCGGGGGCGGGGCCGGGGAGGGGGCGGGCCCCGGAGTGCTGGGGGCGGGGCCGGGCGCGGGCACTCGGGTGTGGGGCGGGCGCGCCCTTGGGGACCCCAGCTCCAGCCCCGCCCCTTCCTCCCCAGGCTGTGCCTTCCCCTATGCCGCCTACTCCATGCCGGCCTCCTGGCTGCACAGCCGCCTGCGCCAGCTCTTTGTGCCTGCTGCCGCACTCAATTCCTTCCTGTGCACCGGCCTCTCCTGCTACTCCCGGTGGGTGCTCCGCCGGTGCGGAAGGGGAAGGCGGAGGGACAGGACAGGGCACGCCCCAGACACACCGGAGCCCGGCGATGGCGCATGTGCGCCTCCGGCTCTGGACCGACAGTAGCAACAATGGCCCGGCTTATTGAGGACTCACCGGGTGTCGCTCCGGCGGGCCAGCACCATACCTGCGCTGTCTCCTTGAATTCTCACAGCCAGCCTAGAGGGCGCAGGTGTCTACCCCCCTCACAGATGTGGCCATTTCCAGGGGGGTCACATGCCCTAAGGGCTTTCACAGCCACTAAGCTACAGTAACATTCCATCTTGGCCAAAGGACCCCTGACCTTCGGTGACCACCCCCCGAGAAAGGATGGTAACCAGCCTTTCCCTACCGCCTCCCAGGTTCCCGGAGCTAGAAAGCCCAGGGTTCAGTAAAATCCTCCGCACGACTGCCTTCGCCTATCCCTTCCTGTTCGACAACCTCCCCCTCTTCTACCGGGTAAGGGAGGCTGGGGCTCCTGCTCTCCCTGCGCCCCAGACCCTCACTCCCAGAGGCCCTCTCCACCAGCTCTGCTTGTCCTCTGCCAGCTTGGACTGTGCTGGGACAGGGGCCCCAGCTGCGGGCAGGAGGCGCTGAGCGCCAACCACCGCTACCACCTCCTCTGTGCGCTGCTCACTGGCTTCCTCTTCGCCTCCCACCTGCCCGAGCGGCTGGCCCCAGGACGCTTTGACTACATTGGTGAGAGCTCAAGAGTGGTCCCCATCCAGGAAGGGGTGAGGGGGGACACAGCGTCCCAGAGCACAGAGTGAACAGAGTAGTGGGGTATCACAGCCAGGGAGAATGCCCGGGCTCCGGGCTTCCCCCCTCCTCAGATAAACTAGTAGCGTGTGTACCGGGGGCCTTGTAGGTTCTCTTATTCCCAGTTCAAGGGGCAGCCCGCCCAGACAATGAAGTAGGGCAGCTGTGGGAGCGGGGCCCGTGCCCTGAGCCGCCCACCCCACCCCCACCCCCAACAGGCCACAGCCACCAGCTCTTCCACATCTGTGCCGTGCTGGGCACCCACTTCCAGCTGGAGGCAGTGCTGGCTGACATGGGATCTCGCCGAGCCTGGCTGGCCACGCAGGAACCCCCCCTGGGCCTGGCGGGCACGGTGGCCACGCTGGGCCTGGCGGCGGCCGGAAACCTCCTCATCATTGCTGCCTTCACAAGCTCCCTGTCTCGGGCCCCCAGCACCTGCCCTCTGCTGCAGGGCAGCCCCCTGGAGGGGGGCATGAAGGCCAGACAGCAGTGAGGCCCTATCTCTGAGCCCGCCCTGGGGGAAGGCAGAGGCCAGGCCCCGGTGCTGGGGAGGAGCCCCAACCCGGGTCTGACGGAGGTGGGGCACGTCGGAGCCTGGAGCCAGGAGTGGCTGCGGAGAGAGTGCCGAGGAGAGGAGGGGGCGGGGCGGTGCCGAGGAGAGGAGGGGGCGGGGCGGGGCCGGCAGCAAGCGGGAGGCTCAGCAAGGGTGCGCTCAGCGGGGCCGGGGCAAGTGCCGAGGGTCTGAGAGGGGCAGTGCGTGTGTCCAGGCTGGAGCTGGGGGCAGGGAGGTGCCGGGATCCTGACACCTGGTCCTGTTCCTGCCTGCAAGTCTCTGCCAAGCCCGGGGGACCCCTAACACGACTAACCTAGGCCCACCCCGCGTGCTCGTGCGCCCGGCCCGGAGACCCGCGGCTGTCCTCGCCTCCCAAACCGGGCAGCACCATCTCCTGACAGCTCTCGGCCCACCGGGAAGAGTCTGTCTGCCCTGGTCACAGCTGTGTGCTCAAGGTGTCCAGGCCTTTGGGTCTATGTGGGTGTCCCGGGTGGTGCGGTGGGTGGGGTGGGGGAGGGGTGCTGGGCTAGAGGGGGAACCCTAATAATTAGACTTTTACGAAGCTCCTTTCGATGCTTCCAGACGAGGCAGGTACAAATAAATCAGTCGACAGCAGATTTGGGGAAGTACTTTCTGAGACTGAAGAGGGTACACCTCCTCTCCACTCCCATCCACAACCATCCCCCCAAACTCCACAGATGGACAAAGACTCGCAGCCCCACAAATTCCTCTTCCGGGGTTTATTCTGGAGCAGCTGGGATGATGGGGACCCCACACTTGCGGGGCAGGGGGGCCAGGGAGAGGGGAGGGGAGCCGGGGTTGGGGGGTTGCTGCCCTCTCTAGACTGTGCCATAGAAGCGCTGGTAAGCGTCCTGGAAGCCGATGTGGTCAGCCAGCTCGTCACAGTTGGGGCTGAGCTCGCAGACTTCCCTCTTGGGCTCCAGGGGATCCGGGTAGGGGGCTGGGGCTCTGACAGACCAAGACAGCGGCATCAGCCTCCACGACCAATGCCTGCCCTCTCCTCCCATGGCCCTGGGGGGGGGGGGTCCGCAGAGCCCCGGGCAGGGGGCTGCCCTCTCCCTGCCCATCCCCCAGGCTGGGCCCTGGACAGCACTCACCCCAGCCCGGAGTCCAGGTAACGCCGGAGCCTCCTCACCACCTCGCTGCCCTCCTGCTTGGACACGAAGGCTGTGGAGCAGAAAAGGCAGGGATCAGGTGGCTCAGGGTCTGGGAGGCACGTGGCGGGCAGCCCCGTGGGGTGATGCGCGCCCACCCCTGACCAGGCCCTGCCTCATACCTGCACCTCTGCGGGACTCCACACCGCTGGGCTTCGCATCTGCAAAGGAGAGGGCCCGGTTCACCCCTGCTCGGTCCCCGGGGTTCCCCCACCAGGACAGAGCCTGCAGGAGGGTGCTTGGACCGGAAGTGGGGGGAGGGGAGGCCGGGCCAGAGCCGGGGCACTCACCCGCCGTGCCAGCCAGGCACAGTGCGGCCAGGGCCAGTAGGGGGAGGACTGTCACGGGCCTCATGGCGGGAGTGTCCTGTCCGTCCGCGTCTGGGAGCGGCTGCCGGGCTGCTGCTGGGCCTCAGCTGGTCTGATTCTGGCCGTGCGGCCAGCACCCTTTATACTCTGGGTTGTGCCCTGGAGGCAGGGGGGAGGGGGGAGGCGGCGGCGGCGGCGGCAGCGGCACCCACCATATTGTGGGTGGGTCACGGGGGGTCTGCCAGGGCTATTTGGAAGTCATCCGCCCCAGCTCTGAAGGCCAAACCCCAAAGGATGTTGTGGTTGGAACTAGAGCTGCCTGGGCAGGCCCAGCCCCTCCCCAAGGGGTGTACCCCGTCCCCAGCTCCAGCCTCAGTTTGAGCACCAGCAGGGCAGGCCGGGAGAGGCGGGAGGGGAGCCTGGGGAGAAAGGGGGCTCCAGGTCTAAAATAGACTCCAGTAGAGCCGGGCTGCCTCTGGAAGGCTGTGATTTGCACTGTTGGCCCTGAGGGCAGGAGCCAAACCGCAGGGAGGAAGGGGCCCGAGGCAGCGATGGTTCATCCGGAGGCAGAGGTGCCCTGCCCCTGCGGCCAGCAATGCCCAGTAATGGCAGGCCAGGGACCCGAAACCGTCCGAGGCGGGCTGTCAGATAAAAGACAGCTCTTCTGTTCAGGGCAGTGGGGACCCTCTCCCGGAATCCCTCGCAAGGGGGAGAAGCAGGGCCTGTGAGGAGCTGGGAGACGGAGTGCGCCTCTGACCCTCTGACCCTCCTCCTGCCCTGGCGGCCTCCTCGAGGTTAACAACTGTGGGGGCCTGTCTATCAAGACACAGACGTCCAGCCCGAAAAACCCCATCCCAGCACAGCTGAGGGCCACGTCCACTCAGCCCCGCCTGGAGGGAGGGTGTCCTTGAGCCCGGCCTCACTGCCCACCCCACGGCCTGCGGCCAGGCATGAGGGGGGTCTCACGTGTGAATGCTGCAGCCCCATTGGGCTCTGGTCCAGGCAGGAAGGTGGCCAGCAAGGGCCCCCTGACATCTGCCTGAGTGTCCCCAGTGCCCCCAGACAGACCCAACCAAGCCTCCCCGGGGTGAGGCCCTCTCCAGGGAAAACAGTTTTGCGCCCCACGAGTACCCATCCACTTCACCGGCCGGTCAGAGGAAGCGCCCATCTGCGTGCGTGTGTGTGTGTGTGCGTGTGCACGCTCACCATGCGCAAGACTGAGGGAGGCCCGCCCGGGGCTTTCTCACAATGAATCCGAGTGGCAAAGAGAAGGGTGGAACCCAGGGGTCCTGGTCTCCATGCCGAGGGGCTCGCTGTTCCCCTGCACGTGATGGTCAGGTGTGCCCCCGCCAGCCCACCCCAGCCTGGAGGCTCTCAGAGCAGCGCTGGGGCCTTGCGGGGGGCCTTGGCCCAGGAGAGGCTGGAGAGGCCCGGCAGAAGCAGCAGCCTCACAGATTACAATGGAGGAAGTGGAGGAAGTTTATTTATGGATGTGGGGAGAACACGGCACGGTCCCTCGGGCTGACTGGCAAGGGGGCAATCAGGGCAGACCGAACAGAGACTCCCTGAGCCAGGTCCGGGGGCGCTCAGGAACGGGCACGGCAGCCGGCTGGCCCTGACCTGGAGGACACAGAGCCCGGTGCCTGATTCCCAGCACGGGAGCTGGCCGACAGTCCTCAGGTTAGAAGAAAACAGGGAAGGGTCTGAAAGGGGTGAGGGGCTGCGTGTGTGACCCAAGGGAGCCCCAAAGCAGGAGAGACAGTCGGGCCTCATCCCCCAGCTCATTCCATCCCTGCTCGGGGACTGGGCATGATTTCAGTGGTCCTCAGGGGCAGCGTGCCCAGGCCCTTGGCCCCGACCGCCCTGGTCTGGCCGCCGCCTCCTCACTCAGGCTCCCCCAGCACGCCCAGCAGCTCCATCTGTTCTCTGCGCAGGGCCTGGAAGAGGAGGGGGCGAACGCGGCTCGAGAAAACCCGAGCGCTTCCTCCCACTCGGCTCGACTCCAGGCCTCTCTCCCGCGGGACGGTGGGGAAGGAGTGGCTGCCGCTGCCCGGTGCCCCGGAGCCGGGGACGGGGTGAGGACCAGAAGAGCCACTGGGCCTGCTCCTGCTGCCGGCTCTCCAAGGCTCGGGGACCCGGGAGCCAGGGATCTGGGGACCCACTGCTGTGAGGAACAGGAAGGCCCGCCCCAGGAATGGACCCACCAAGTGGTTATAAGTAAACACAAGCCGGCCATCCGGATGACGGAGCGAGCCCAACAGTGGTGCAGCCCCTCGAGCCCTGCCCACAACCCTGGACTGGAGCCACTCTTTGAGAGAGAGGAAGGGAGAGGAAGGGAGAGGAAGGGAGAGGAAGGGAGAGGGGGAGAGGGGGAGAGGGGGAATCTCAAGCAGACTCCTCGCTGAGTGCAGGGCCCACATGGGGCTTGATCTCATGACACTGAGACCACCACCTGAGCCCAAACTGAATTGGACACTCAACTGGCTGCACCCCCCCGGGGCACCCCCTAATGTGCACGTTTTAAAGCTCCTGGGGATCGGTCACGTGGAGAACCCCACAGCCACGGAGCACTAACCCTAACAGGAGGGGCCGGTCCCTCGGGCCGGGGACCATGCCGGGGACACTCACCTGCCAGGCCTGCCGCCGCGCCCCGCCCTGCCGCCGCAGCTCCTGCACCCGCCCCCGCCCGGCCAGGACGGCCTCGGCCAGCTGCCTGTTCTCGGCCTCCTGTCTGTGCACACGGCGCTGCAGGGCGTCCCGCTGCTGCACGAAGTAGGGCACCAGGGCGCTCCGCATGTCTTCCTCCGGGATCCCACTGGGGCGCCTGCGACCCCACCGGGGCCAGTGGACGGGGTGGGGAGGGCGTGTGTGGGTGAGGCTGCCGTGGCCTCCCACCCGCAGCCTCCCGTGGCGCGGGCTTCCACTGCTACACTCACCGGCTGGCGCTCAGCTCGGCGCCCAGGGACCCCCTCTCCCCGCTCTCCCCGCCCACGTCTGCACCCAAGCCGGCCCAGCTGCATGCACCGCCCCCCATGTCTAGCGCTCCAGGACCGGAGGCGACCTTCCAGCTACTGCCTCTGTCCGTGGGACCCTGCGCACCCGCTCCTCAGACAGTGAGCCGGAGACTGGGGGACCCGGAGGGGCCCCAGCAAGTGCTGGCTAACGTGGGAAGATGAGGCAGGCGGGTCTGGAGTCAGGAGGACGGGGGTCCTGAAAGCCCAGAGCGAGGGGACGGGTTGGTTCCAATGGGGCAGTGGGGTGGAAGCCACCAGAGGTCCTTCAAAAAATTTGTTTTCAGCTCTAAAACTCATTTCTCTTATGTGTTAAGATCACAGAGCATAAAAAAATTGGAAAGCACAAGGAAGGTGTTTCCTGGCTCTGGCCCAAGACAGTTCAGGCAGGGAAGGTCGGGGGAGGCAGGAGCTCGGCGTGGGACGCCCCAGGCCACAAGGCTGCCCGCAGGGACGTCAGCCCCCAGGGCAGCAGCTCTGGCTGTCTTGTTCAGCACTGAATCCCAGGCACGTAAAACCGTTTGGGGCGTACAGTAGGTGTCCCCTAAATACTGTTAAATGGACAAGTGAATAAAACCCAGACGCCGGGCCCGCCTGACACAGACTGCAACTCCGCCCTTCCACCTCCTGCCGACGGGCAGATGGGTCCTGAAATGAGCCCCCTGCAAGGACGGCCGCCCCCAGTCGGCCCCAGGCCCCAGACAGCACGCGCCGGCTATGGGGCTCTTCTCCTTCCCCGGAGGGGAGGACGGGCTTGGCCCGCGCGCGGGGCCCTTCTCACCAGGCCGGCTCCGTGCGGTCTTTGCCTTCTTGCACGATCTTGTCCAAGGAGCTCAAGACCGCTTCCAGGTTCCCCTCCGCTTTGATCTCAGAGATTTCCTCCTGAAGAGCAAGCAGGAAAGAGCTCTAATGACACCAGACAAGGCCACAGTGAAAATAGACCAAGCCGTGGGCAGGACTCAGTAAGATCTGGGCTGATTCCAGTGTCTTTGTCCCAACATTCCAACTTCCCTCCATGTGACTTTAATAACTAAAAACAGGAAGTATCAGATGGAAAACACTTGAGAAGAGCCTGCCCAACACCTTGGGATGCTGCAGCCCCAGGCCCAGCGGCTGGTGCCACAGACACACCCTGGTGCTTCCTGCCCGTCCCCCCCCCCCACCCCGCCCCGGAGCACGAGGGCACGGGAACGGAGCCCTCCGAAGAGATCACCATATTCCTTAAAGACACGAACACAGTCCTGTCATCTTTGGTACTCCCTGTAGCACACAGCTCCACGGAATTGCACGGTTAAGTGTCTCCTCTGCACCTGGCCCTGCACCAGGTGCTGGGGATGCGAGGAGGCCAGGAGCCCCTGCGGCAGACAGCACGGGGACATGGCACCGGACCCCGAGAGGAGGGACACGCCGGGGAATGGACGGCGGCCACGGCGGGCAGCTCTGAGCACTGAGGACCCAGACGGCCCGAGGCAGCGCCCCCTGCTGTGTTCCTTGCCACTCACCCGGACAGATGTCTGCAACTGGGTGACGAGCTTGTCATAGATTCGCTGTGTCATCTCAGGCTGCAGCTGGTAGAGGTGCTTGTAACAGTCAGTGAATCTCTGGTAGCTGGCAGGAAGGACAGACAGTAAGATGGAGGGTCACATGCCCAGCTAGCCGCCCCCCCCCCGGCCGTGGGGCTCGGGGTCCAGTCAACTCCACGGCCCTGGGTAACGGCTGTGGGTGCGAGAGGCCTCACCTGTCCCCAGGGGTCCTCGCTGCCTCTCAGCAGAGCCCAGCCGAGCTCAGGGGTCTCCCCTTAACCGGTGGGTCATACCTGTCCACCACGGTGCATCAAATCACCGGGAGGGCTTGCTAGGACTCGGCGCCAGCCCCCTCCCCCCCGCCCCGTCCAACCAGCTCCCAGGGGGCGCTGCTGCTGGTGTGGGCCGCGGTCCTTGAGAAACTCTGGTCGTCCCAGTCCCCTTGCCGGGCTGGACCAGGGCAGGGCATGCGGCCGCAGGCAGAGGTAGCCTTCCTCCTAAAAGGAGCCACACGGGAAGGATGCCCCTTTTGCAGGATGTGACTACACGTGCTGGAGGCAATGTCTCCAGCTCCCAGCCATCGTGGGGGCCCTGGCCTGAGGGCAGAGTTCATCCCCTAAGGAGGCTGAACGGAAGAGAAGAACTGGGGTGTCTGAGGACATCATCAAGCTGCTGAAGACACCAAACTAGAGCCACCCCACCTTGGGGCTGCTAGTTAGCGGGGTAATGGATTCCTCTTATTGTTCACGCCATTTAAAAAAAATTTTTTTAATAGATTTTATTTATTTATTTGAGAGGGAGAGAGCGTGAAAGAGAGCGCACAAGCAGGGGGAGTGTCAGGCAGAGGGAGAAGCAGGCTCCCCGCTGAGCAGGGAGCCCCACGTGGGGCTCGATCCCAGGACCCTGAGATCATGACCTGAGCCGAAGGCAGACGCTTGACCGACTGAGCCACCCAGGCGCCCCTGTTCATGTCTTTTAGAATCAGGCCTCTGTCACTGGCAGTTGAGAGCTGGGTCCCTGATCCACCCTCGTAGCTGGGAAGATCAGAGGGTACCCAGGACGCTCCCAGTGGCTTGCTCTCTTAAAAGTCTCTTGCCTTTTGTCTCCCCACTCCCTGCGTTCTTGTGTCTCTACCTTCTCCCTCGGGCCCTTCACCTTCTGCCAAGGTTCGGCGCTGCCTGCTGTGCTGGCCGCCAACCAGGTACTGGGTGTTCTGCGGGGAGGGAGGCTGCACGGCCCTCCCGGAGCTTCAGGCAGAGAGATGCCAGCAGACACAGAAACACACGTGACCATGGGGACGGCCACTTGTGGAGGGCGCTTTGAAGGAAAAGGGTCTTGGGATCGTCTTTAAGCCGGGGTGGGGGGTGTTCAGTGACCTGCAGGAAGTGTCTGAGCCAGGGAGTCCCCAAGCACGTAACAGCCCACATCTGTGCTCGGCTGTGGGTCCGGATGCTCCTCAGCTGTGTGGTCAGGCTGGGGGGCCATGGGACACACAGGGGATTGGGCCCCTGGAAGCCGGCGCCTAGCCCCCACCCCACCCGGGGAATCACTGCTGGTCCCCCCTTCCCATGGCTCTCGGCCTCCCTGCCCAGGTCCTGCCCTACACAATGTCTGTGGGGCAGGTGACACTCGAGAGCGCACAGGGGCTTGCAAGGGACACCTACTGTGTTTTCAGGAAATCTGTGAGCCTGCTGTTCAACACGGCCGCACTGAACACTGTTATATAATCTGGCAGTAAATGTTAAAAGAAATGGTACTAACTACTCAAAACACACGACTTGCTAACGCAGCACATCCTCGGTGCTCTGGAGACAGCTGACACCCTGTGTGTGGAAACACTGTGTAAGGTCCACCACCACCATCTCTCTGGCACTCTGGATTGAGCGTTTACACCTTGGCAACTGGCAAACGCAGTAAGCCAGGGCTTTATTTTTGGAGGGTGGTTGCAAGCCTCTGCCGGTGGCTCCACAGGAGGGGACGGTCTCTCCCTGTTGTGACGGTCCACACTGGACGCCGACACCCCGTGGGGGCTAAACCTTGGCACCCGTGGCCAGGGCACGGGACGGATGGCGGACACCCTTCAGCCTCGGTGGGGCCCCAGGCATCTTGTGTGCCGCCAGCCCCCCTCGCCACGCAGTCTGTGGCTACACGAGGAATGTGGGGACGCAGGACGCCTGCCCAAGTGGGGCTGGAACTGAAACTGGGTAATTGTGGCTTGAGATGGGCTTGGCTTGGACACCGGAGATCCTGTTCCTCCACCCGGCCCACTTGACGGCAGAGGGTCTGAGTAGGCCCCCGTCCTGCACTCAGGCAGCCAGCAGCGGCGAGGGCCTGGGGCAGGGGCCGGGGGCCAGCCGTCTGCGCGCCAGTGCTGCGCGGAGCTCTTCCCACAGCCCCGATGGGCTCTGAGGACTCAGTGAAAGTGAAGGCCGTCCGCACAGATCCCCAAATGGTGAATGCCTGCTGCACGGGCACGGAGGGAAGGCAGCCACACTGGAGGCTGGTGTCAGCGAGACAGGAGGACGGGATCTTCGCTTTGTTTGTTTCCAGTCTTACTGTGATATAATTGCCTCCTTGTATTAAGGCACACAGCATGATGCTTTGACTCACATATACAATGAAGTGATGAGCACAGAAAGTGTAGTCAACACCCATCACCAGCTCACAGAGACACAAAAAACAGGGAAGAAAAGCTTTCCTCGTGATGGGAATTCTTGCAACAGACGCTCTTCCCAGAGTGGCGTGAGCTGCGGTCATCGTGGTGGACACTGCATGCCCAGGGCTTCCTCATCCTCTAGCTGATGCGCGTGCCTTTGTCCACCTTCCTCCAACCCCCCCCCCCCAGGAATTCCCTTCTCGAGAGCCAGGGCAGGCTTGGGAATGGTTTAAATGCCCTTGTCAATCTCCTAAAAAAATACTCTAAGGGAGAAGCAGGAAAAGTGATGCATTTTAGAAAACATGCCGGGCCGTCCTGCCGCCTGCAATGTCACTGGGATCACTGGGATTTCCAGGGTGCCCAGAACTGTTTGATGCGGCTGCAGACCAGCCCTACCCCCAGCTACCCTGGACTCCAGGCCAGCAGGCATGCACTGCTGGGGCGGGGGAGCCCTCGCTCATGAGCAGCCCCGGTGGCCTCTCTGCAAGTCCCCTTTGGCTCTCTGTTGGAACGGTGCCCTGGCCTTGGCCTTCCAAGGGTACGCAGGGGGCTACCCAGCTGCGTGCTGGCTACGTGCACTGGGTCTGCGGAATCTTGGCCTGCCTGTCTGGGTTCAAATCCTACCTCTACCGCTCATCAGATGAGTGATCTGTGACTACTTCTTTACCTTTGCCAGCCTCAGGTTCTGCTCCGTCAAGTGGGGATAGTAAGTGTGTCCGCGCTCACAGAATTACTGTGAGGTCACATATGTAAAGTACTTAGAACAGTGCCCAGCTCACTGACAAGCGCCACGTTAGCTACAATTAGTATCCCTAATTTCAGGAAAACAGTCCTCACTGCCCCCCTCAGAGGTGCCGAACAGTAAGCTGGCTTCCGGGATGGGGCGCCTGGGTGGCTCAGTCGTTGAGTGTCTGCCTTCGGCTCAGGTCATGATCCCAGGGTCCTGGGATTGAGCCCCGCATCGGGCTCCCTGCTTAGCAGGAAGCCTGCTTCTCCCTCTCCCACTCCCCTTGCTTGTGTTTCCTCTCTCGCTCTGTCTCCCTCTGCTAAGTAAATAAATAAAATCTTAAAAAAAAAAAAAGTTAGCTTCCCAGAGTTGAGAAGTCTCCTTGCAGAAGGCAAGTGCTTTGTAAAAGGGTCCTGGTGGCAGATGCCTGCACAGAAGCCAGCCCAGTGGCAGGAAGAACCCACTGGCCCCACGACAGAGAGACGCTAAGTTGTGCCCCCCGCAAAGAGGGCTACATTTATCATCAAAGTTACTGTTTGAAATGTATTTACTGAATTTATTAATGGATTTTAATCTAGTTTTTCTCTTATACTTTTTTGTTAATTTTTTAAAGTAACCTCTATGCCCCATGTAGGACTTGAACTCACCACCCCGAGATCTAAAGTGGCCTGCTCCTCAATCCTTCCTACACAATATTTCATTAACTGCACTAAAAACTCACTGTAAACTGAGTTATCACACATTTATTATTTTTTTATTTTTTTAAAGATTTTATTTACTTATTTGAGAAAGAGGGAGAGAGCACGAGCAGGAGGAGGGGCAGAGGGAGAGGGAGAAGCAGGCTCCCCGCTAAGCAGGGAGCCCGATGCAGGGTTTGATCCCAGGACCTGGGACCATGACCTGAGCCGAAGGCAGATGCTTCACTGACTGAGCCACCCAGGCGCCCCATTATCACATAAGTTTAACTTAAAAAAAATTAACTTCAAAATACTGAAGCTCAGGGATGCCTGGGTGGCTCAGTCAGTTAAGCGACTGCCTGCACCAGGCTCCGTGCTCAGCGGGGAGCACCTGCTTCTCCCTCTGCCAGCTGTTCCCCTGCCTGTGCACACGCGCGCTCGCACTCTCTCTGACAAATAAATAAATAGAATCTTAAAGAAATATACTGAAGCCCAGAACCAAGCCCTCGTGGTCTGTCAAGGTGGGGGTTTGCAGGTGGCTCCGCGGGTTCACCCGGGCTCTGCTGGCCTGGTGTGCAGCCTGGCGGATTGCGGCCCCGCCGAACGTCCCTTCACGGGCTGCCCACCAGAGGGCGCCTCGGTCCCAGCCCAGGGATGGGGCGCACAGCGCCTGGGACAGACACAGCAAAGGTCTGCACACTCCCCACCACCCACCCACGGGAAGGCTGCCCCGCTGCGCTAGCAGGTGCTCTTCGGTCAGCTCCTTCCCGCTGCCCTTCCTCAGGCCCGGGTCTGCTGGGCAGCCCTTGCCTAAGAAAGAAAAGGGAAGCCAAAATGAGAAATGCTCTTTGATGACAGCACAAGTCTGTGATTTATGACAACCGTGGCAAAAAGTTACCTTTTAAAAATTAATCTTCATTAGGGGCGCCTGGGTGGCTCAGTCAATTAAGTGTCTGCCTTCACCTTGGGTCATGATCTCTGTGTCACCCCCCCCCCCGCCCCCTGCATCGGGCTCCCTGCTCAGC